CAGGAGTTTGAGGTTGCTGTGAGCTAGGCTGACGCCACGGCACTCACTCTAGCCCGGGCAAAAGAGTAAGGCTCTGTCTCAAAAAAAAAAAGAACACAAACAGTAAATGAGGAGATTTAGAGAAAAATGAATGCCCAGCGTGAACGGGCAGCTTTGCAAAGTCCTGACCTAACCCCCACCACGGAGAGTTTCCTGGATGCCAGACGTGCTTTGTGGTCAAACGGGCGGAGGGAAAGGGGACCCCTTGCTGCTGGGGCCAGGCCCTAACCCTAACGAGCAAGGGGGCAGGGTGCGACCTGGAGCACCCGGCTCATCCACTGGAAGCTGTCCTCCTCCGTGGAGTCCGGCCTCTGCTCCGCCACGATCACGATCCTGTCGTCATGGAGGACCGTCACCGAGAACACGGCTATCCTGCGGGGACAGAGGAGCGGGGTGAGCGGGCCTCGGGGACACTCTCCCAGCAGGAATCCCACAACCGTGATCGGCCGCAAAGCGCAGGAGATGCAGCTCCAACCACCACTCCAAAAGCCACTGCAAGAACGGCCGGGGGCCACACACGCCCTCACGGCGCCCGCGGGTCAGGGGCAGGGGGGTCAGCGCACGACCATCAGACCTGCTGACGTCAGGGGGCCACCTCACTCGCATCCCAACCTCCTCCACGTCAGCAGCAGCTGCCCGCCGGGGACCGCTGCCTTCCGCCGAACACCCCTGCCCGCATGGCCAGCACGCAGCCGCGAGCGCGACAGTCCTGCGCGCTCTGCACAGACGGCTGTGGTTTTTCTAAAGAGGACTCAGAGGCGGCAACGGCACATCCAAGCGTCCACCTTCTCCCTCTTCCACGAGCCTCCAATGAACATAAGGTTCTAACGCAGCTACTACTTCCTTCAAATTAGCGAAAAACTCAAGAGCCGTAGCAGCTAATCCAAGAACTACTGAGCCTCTCCCTTGTGCCGGGCAAGGTGGGGAAGAGGAGATTGGGAGAGGCGGGAGTTGGTGGCGTCAGCTCCTCCGAGCAAACCTGTGACTCCACTACTGGTTCCTTCCGAGCTGCATCAAGGTGAGTATTCGGACCTTTAGTTTGTGGAGTTATTTATTAAAAGTAAGTTTCAGACGGACAATATAACTTACAGGGAAAGTGAGTGAAAATATTTTCATGGGGCTCAGGAAATTAACACAAAATCTTGTGCATTCAGAACTAGCTGAACTCTCAAACGTCAGAGTCCAGCTGCTTCAACTGCACAGAAGGGGAAACTGAGTCACGATACATGAGGCGTCTACGCAACTGTTGAACTCTTCTCACCCACGTGAGAAGCACGGTCTACAGAAAAACGTGCCCGATTCGCTCACAAGCGCCACCGACCTTCCTCTGTAGACGAACTTCATGGGCTCCACGGCCAGCGCCGTCGCCACGATGTCATCGGCGTTGTGCCTGCGGCCGCTGACCACCATGAGGCCGTCCATCTTGCCCACCACGAAGACGAGCCCCCCGGGACCGACGAAGCCCAGCAGGCCTGTCCTGATGAAGGGGTACTCGCTGATGGGCGCCCCCGAGCTCGTCATGGGGAACACCTGGGGACACAGCTGCAGTCACCTCTCACGGCCGCGCCCGGCCCGAGTCCACCTCCTGAGCAACCTGCCGGGGCTGCCGGCTCCCAAGGCGACCGCGGCTTCCTCCCACCCACGGGCCCCAGCAGAGGCTGAACCGGCCCCGCACCTCCAGGAAGCGCGGGAGCCTCACGCCCGCTCCCCTCCCACAGGCCCCGGAAGGCGGAGCCGGGGACACCCAGACAGCACGACCCCATCTGAGGGGGGGCAACGAATTCTCTCATTTGTAAAACCACAGCACAGAAGTAACAGAGGAAGAACCAAGGTGCATTTTAAACGGCCCACGTTAGCTATAAAGTAACTGATCCCCGTTCATTAAAATGCTACCCTTCCTTGTCGGAAATACACTGAAAAGAGAAATATACAGAGGAATCAAATCAAACGGAGTTCAGAGTCTAAACCTCTTTCCCTCCGACCCGCAGGGGCATCTCACAGAGGGGTGGGTCTCGCATCCAGCTCTGGCGATGAGGGATATTCTAGAAAGTTGAATTCACGTTCCACAAAGCCAGCCCGGACAGGCACCACGACACACCTGTTCAGCCACAACCAAAGCTCTAAACGTTGGGGAAACGTGTCCCCACGGGGTTGACGTTTTCTCACGTGTGACTCAAATACCGCGCTGCCCCCGAGGCCGGGATCGCCGGGTGAGAAGATAAAAGTTCTGGGAACCCCAGGACGCGGCACTGAACACCGAGCCCGTGAGTCTAACCCTCAACGTCTCTGCTCACTGTGCAGCACACGTGTGCACCCCACACAATGCCCGCCGCACACGCCTCCGCACACGTGTGCACAGCACACATATGTGCATACACACACCTGCCACACCCCCACAAATGTGTACACACCACACACACTTAACGCACACGTGTTCAAGTCTCAGGTCCACACCGGCCACGTCTAGCTTAGCTGAGAGGCTGTAGGGGCGGCCAGTGGCCCTCCCCAGGTGAAGTTGTTCACGCACACGCATGTACATGTCCTGCATCACCCACCTCTCGCCTGGCACTTTTGCTAAATAGGAGAAGGTGAGTAACAAATTTTAAAAGGCCCATTTTTACGAAATCATGATTATTCTTTCTTGACGCCTGTTATAAGGTCAGAACGATGCTGATAACATCACCAAAAGCCATAGACAGAAGATGGCAGGAGAAAGGAAAACTGTGTCAATTAACACAAACACGTTTTATTGGACGACAACAACCCGCTCACATTTCCCACCCGCTGCCACGCACGGGCCGCGCCGTCCGGAGGCCGCCCCGGGGCGGGGCTCGCGGAGCAGCTCCCACCTACCTCGAAGGTGTTCTTGGTCATGCCGGAGAGGCCGTAGTAGGAGGTGCCCGTCGCCACCGCGCACACGCAGAGCTCCCCGATCTCGTCCGTCCTGCACAGCTGCGGAATCCCGTCCGGCTTCACCGAACACATGATGGCTGGAAGCAAATGGTGCACACGCGTGTTAGAGCCGGCGGGGAGGGGGGTGGGGAAGGAACGAACGAGTAAGAGGAGGACACGCGAGAACAGAAACTGCGCGTGTCTCCGTCGGCCAGCCACTCGCGTCCCCTAAAGAGAGTCGTGATTCTTCACGCTGCGGGAACACGTCACGCTGCACAGTTGTGACGTTGATACGCAGTTTCGAGTGCTTTGATTTTAACGCGTGAATTACACGTAAGGGGAACAGCGTCTGTCACTTGGACGTGAGGGCGGCACGCAGAGCGAATGCAAGGGCGTCCGCTACACGCGTGTTGGCGGCAGCACGGGTGTGACTTCCAGGATGCACCGGAACTCCGCGGATCAGGCAGCGCAGACACTCCCTTCGGTCTGTCGACGCTTCTCTCCCCCGAACGTGGCGTCTGAGCTTCCGGTGTCTCATGGAAATTCGATCTTTGATTTCAAATTCCCCGTAGGGCGAGTCCTTCAGAGAACGTTGCTCAAAGGCTTCCGCGCGTGACCCGATGACGCTGACCGTCTGCGGATGCCCCGGTGTTCGGGAGGGAGGATTTTCATGGTGTAACCTCCAGAATCTTTCAACGAGTCCATCGTGGGGCTCTACTATTGACTTCAAAATGAAATGTATTTTTTAAAGAAAGAATCGGAGCCAGGAGGCCTGGCCGAGTGGCCGTCTACCCTCCAGGCGCGACTCAGGCTGGGATCTCTGTGAAGTTTCCTGCACATGCTGAACACGCGTGACCAGTGCTGCTCACGCTGGGCGTGGCCGTCCTGCTACGGGGGCGAGACCACACCTGCGCGTGGAGGGGCTGGTCAGGAGAGCCAGGCTCCGGGCGGGGACCCCAGCTCCATTTCGGGGGCAGACAGTGAGGAGCCTAAATGCCGACACCTGTGGTCCCGCAACGACGCCAGGGCCCAGGTGAGCGCACTGCGCAAACCACAGGGCGGCGGGTCACACCCGTGGCCCCCGGGAGGTGCCCGAGTCACTGCGTGGCAGGCGAAAGGCAGGTGGGGCCCTTCGCCCAGGCGGTCGTCTCTGTGAACCTCTGGAAAGGGTTTCTGTGACTTTAAAACAACGGCTTAATTGCTAAAAACGAGCTTCACTGATTCCACAGACTCACGTTCCTGGGATTTCGCACACATCTGCGAAAAGCCTCGGGGAAGGCCAGCCGGGGAGTCGGGCGCTGGCGGGCACGTCCTCCGGGTCAGAGCGGGGAGAGCCGCCCGGGCACCGTGGGGCAGAGGGTTCGTGGTGCCATCCGCGGAAGAGCGCCCCGGGGTCCCCGTGCGCAAAGAGGCCTCGTTCTCAAGCATTCGGGGCTTTACTTCGTCAGAGGAAGGAGCACGAGGCCTTAGGTGTTTGAAGCTAACGAAGATGTCAGGAGACTGGAAGTGAAGCCCGAGAGCTCACGCCAGAGCGACGGAGGGACGGGGTGACGTGAGACAGGCGAGCGCTCAGCCACCGATCAGCCCACGGGACGAGGGTCAGGATCCCCGCCCCGAAACGCAGCGCCCCCCGCCCCAGGCCCACGCTCACCTCCAGGCATCACCAGGCCGACGTCCTGCACCGTCAGCACAGACAGCTTCTCCTCCGAGTCCACGCGGATGACGCCGTAGGTCAGCCCGTGCATGGAGAGCACGCCCCGGCCGGGCGGCTGGTTGCTGTCGTCTGTGGGCCTGTAACGGCAGTTTGCGTCTGAGTGTGCGCAGACAGAGCAGCACAGCCACGGAAGCGCACGTCAGCCGCACACCCAGGGCACTCTGAGGACGCCAGCCAGCCACGCGGTCAAGGAGCCGCCATATTCTGTTTAGGGGCAGATGGCGACACGTCCCCTAATTCTACCTCTGAGTTCCCAGGACATCATAAAATCTCTCAGACCCAACCCTCTGCCTCCCCCTGAGGCCGCCCCCTGCAAGGTCTGGCTGGAAAGAGGCAGAATCGTCTGAGAACGGCACGACACGGTGACCGTCTAGCTTGGTTCAGACGCACACCATGTAGCTCACGCCCAATTTCATACAGAAGAATCCGAAGTAAGATCTACGCTATGCCCTTCTGCCAGCCGGCTTTAAGGGAAGCTATTTGGACGACAGGCATATGCTGCACAATGCTCTGTGGGTCAGGGGAGAAGAGGTTAATGAAGCGCAGTCTTCGAGAGCCCACCGTGTTCACAATGGCTGCCTGAGACCAGCCCTCCCATTCCACTCCTCCCAGGCTCCCAGCTCATGCCCGCATGGGGCTTTTGTGCAGCTTTCCACCTCTACCCAGAACATTCTTCCTGCAGATGTCCACGTGGCCGTCCCCCGGTCTTCCGGGTTTGGCTCAGATATGGGACCTCTCGTCACTTCACAGAAACACACCCGCCCCACACCCCGTCCCCAGATGCCAACCTTTCCAAGGCGGCAGCGTCTGTTCTGTTTGCTGTGTGTCACCCTGGAACAGCATCCAGTAATAAAGATCTGTTCACCGAATTAGTGAATAAATAAACTATTTCCAAGATTGTGGACATTTTTTCCCTGAAAAGTAAAGATTCTCTAATGTGGTCTAAGGGGGAGACCACAACTTAGGTCAATACTAAATTTGTTTCTATAATTTTCCATATACTCATCTTTAATGTAGTTTTGAGATCTAAAAGTTGGACTATAAATGTAAGTTTGCTGTTTAACTTTAAAATATTACGGTTTATAGCAAACCTAAAGATATAAATGGGGTGACGTAAAAGCTAAAATTTGCATAAGGAGATCTCGTTTGAATTAAGTAACTGGTGTATTTTTTTTAAAAAGCATAAAAGAGTCTGGAAATAGAATTATTCTACATGTAAGAATCAAAAAGGGCAGGGCTAACCAGAAAGAAAGTGAAGTCAGCCGAAATAATAAAACCCACAGGAGGCCACCTGGACGCACTGAGCTCAGAACGCTGGAACGTGTAGTACTCTGGCCTCTCCTTTCCCAAAGACTCCAACAAACCAAAACTTGGAAATGAGAACAAGGGTGTTCTCAGTGGTTCTGCCACAATTTCCTGACGCTACACCGTCCTCTATGGAGGCTCAATGTGAAAGTGAGAAACCGTAAGCTTCAGAATCTATTGTGGGTTGAACCGCGTCCCCCACGACAGAGAATCGCTTGTACCCGCGACTGCAACCTCATCTGGAAACAGGGTCTTTGCAGTACGCGCCTGGCTACAAAAACCTCACGCCGCCCAACATCCCAAACTAAACCCGAGACCGACGGGAGGGAATGAAAATCTGGGAAACCTGCGAGGACGAGACATCACTGATCCGTGTACCTGTGGACCGAGCTCCCCTCACCCAGGAAACGCAAGGAAACGGAGGTGAGAAACGTTTTTCTAAAGAATGAATCTGCACTGGTCCCAAGAACCCACACTCCAGCACGTGGCAGAGATAAGCGCGTCCCCAAGGGCCGATCTCACGTGAACTGACGTGACACGTACCTCCGGATGGCCACGGTGAGGGCCTCTGGCGAGCTGGCGCAAGGACAGATGACCTCCTGTCGAAGGCCTTTGCTTTGGAAGACGTTGAGAAACGCGTCACAAGAAGAAATGGACCCTGGAGGAGAGAGGACAAGGGTCGGAGGGCAAGGGTCGGAGGGCTGAAGCACCCACGACACAGAACAGGTGGGCAGTCGGGGCCGGGGCAGCGCAGAAACACGTTCCTTTAGGGCGATTCACCATTTATGCTACGAAGAAAGACAACAACCCCAACTTACAGAACTCAAGAATGCAACAAACGCAACGTCTACACTGTAGATGTTTCTGTAGACGACAAGCTTCCTTTGCTAACTTTCCTGAGACTTGCTCCACTGTCTCCAGGACGCAAGTCCTGAGGGATGGGCGAATCCGAACGTGACCCAGAGAGGACACACTCCCCTGTATTTATGAGACTGAGGCATAGTCACCGGGAGCCAACCGCTAAGCCAGTCCCAACACGGCGGTTTACCTGCCGCATGCGAGATGTGCAGCTCTGCACGGTTACAGGTAAACACGTTTACTAAATTAGTTCGCGATTTATGGAATTATTTTGTAAACAAAAGGATTCTTTATAAAACGTATCTGCTCACACGCCTACATCTGCGTATCGGGAACTCAGGAAAGTTTGCAAGTGTATACGTTCCATGGTTGATAAACGTGGTTAGAAACATTCATTCCTCCATTCAGTTTACTTTGCTTCTGGCTTTGCGTCTCCTCCCCACAGAAACAAGCCAGGTCCGAGCTCCAGCCGACTGAAACATCTCTCAAGGTGTAGTGACAGTTTTCTGTGGAACTAATTTAGGTTGAGTGTCTTTTTGTTACGGGATGTCATAACGAAATCCCAGTGATAATTTACTGATCAACAGTACTAGAGACCATGAAATAGTAATAGTATTTCTTGAGCACTTACTACGTGCCGAAGAACTATATTTAGGGGTTACTTCATCTAGCCCTCGTAAAACTTATGATTTAGGTACCATTTACGGCTGGGGAAACAGAATTAAAAAAGGAGCTCTCTCTACAGAACTGAGATGTTTCTCCTCTTCCCACGGCCGTGTGCCGGCAAATGCCTCGCTCCTGACTGTGACGCTACCGCGCCTTCGGGCTACGGCGAATAATACCGTCTGGTTATTTTAAGACAACTTCTTTACTAAGACACAGATTAAAAAAAGAAAACTCGAAGTGCAAAGAATGAGAGCGAGAAGACGGGGGCCTCTCGGGACAAGTTCAAGTTCGCGGCAGGCCCCACTCACAGGGATTGGCTCCGTCGGCCACGATGAGCATCCGCAGAGAGGAGAGGTTGACGTCTCTCTGGTCTCTGTGCGCCACCAACGCCCAGTGCATGTCCCTGGATTTCACACAGGCCACTTTTGCTAAGAAGAAAAGCAGAAGTCTGTTAACTCGGGCCTCGGCCCGTCCCACGCCGAACACGAGGGGCAGCCACGATCACAGAGGAGGGGCGCGTGAGCTCTGTCCCCCAGACCCCAGGGCCACCGACCTTTGTACTGGCAGACCTTCTGGATCCAGGAGAGCGGGTTCACCTTCATCAGCGAGTACGGGATGCTGATCACGTGCATCATGTTCATCACGCTCTGAAGGGGCGACAGACGCCGCGACGTGAGCAGGCGGGCACGGCGCAGGGGGACACCTGCTCCGCCACGGTGATGGGGGGAGGACACGGAGGGCCGGCCGGCGGGGATCAGGCAGGAGAGGACCTCGTGGGGGAGCGGAAGGCTGAGCGCGGGGGCAGAGGCTGCAGGCGCCGCCCGGGCACGGCCCGCCGGGCAGAGACCCCGAGGCTCGCCCCGTCCCCTCTGCCCTTCCTACACCACGCCTGGCAGAATCGAGGAGTTTAAGTCCAAATCCTCTTTTAAATAAGACCTTCAGTTGAATGATCATTTTTAAATGGACTTCCATGTTCTGGAAGCTTAATTCTTCCTAGCGGGTTATATTAATTTTTCTCTTGCAAAATTAATTTAGTCAATTAAATGTTACCCTGGAACGTAAGGGACCGTGGAAAGTCCGTCTTAATGACACTCAGACTTCCGTGTGGCTTTGCTGGACGCAGACCAGGACTCCTAAAGGAGCCATTTCTCTTTCACGGGTGACCAGAATAAACTTAAACACCGGCCAGCACCTACGCGCCGTGGCCGGAACCTGGCACACGCCGTCGCGCCCTGCGGCAAAGCCACGGGGACCGCGGACAGCGCGCCGGACCCAGTGGGCTCTGCGGCGTCGGGGGCTCGTGTGCTGCCCTGGGGGGGCGGGGGCGGAGCGAGGGGCCCGGCCTCTCTGCAGAGCCACCGGCTCGATCCGGCGAGCGCCCGAGGGAGAAGACGCCGCCGCTTCCCGCCCAGGAGCTGTGGCCTGCCGGGGCGGCGAGGGCGAATTTCGGGCCCCACTCACCGTCAGAATCCCGTGCCAGAGCCCGACGTCCTTCTTGAAATCCAGCACGTTCACGATGGTCTCCGCTGCGCGGCAGAAGGAAGCAGATTTTTACTCGGGACGGGCGGCGCGGACCACGACGCGGCAAAATCCAGCGTCACGTAAGGGGGGAGCGAGGGTCTTGGAAAACATCGTTTCCCCGTGTCTGGGCAGAAATTCTGCCCCCTCCAGGCTCAGACCCACCCGAGGGTCCCCGGGGAGCGCGAGCTCGCCACACGGCTCCTGGAACCACGCTCCTCTTTCACGTGCTTCCCCCCTTCTTCTCCTTCTCCCTTCTGATTAAAGATTTCTCTTCACCTCCCTCGGGAGCGTCTCGCAGGAAGGGAGGTGCCTACAGCCCCCGCGCCTTGCATGTGGGGACGGGTGACGCCGGGGCCCGTGTCGCTATCAGGCGTCCGCGAGGCTGGGTGTGGGTGGCGAGGGAGGGGTGGGGGCTTGGGGACAGGGACAGAAGACGCCTCGATGACCATCGGAGGAGGGCGCTAAACACACGCAGCCCGGAAACGATCCCCGTTACGGATGCGGCAGCGAAGCCGAGAGCCAGCCCCGCGCAAGGCCCGGCTCCCTGAGGTCCCGTCCTCGTCCCCGAGGGGAGTGAGCGCCTGCACTGCCCGCCCTGCGCGCCACTAACGCCACGTCTCCCGCTCTCCCTCGCTCCTCCCCGTACAGCAGGCGCCTCCAAGAAGAGAAGTCTCTTCTCCCTGTCCCCGACCCTGTGCGTGCGTGGGACGGGCCAGGCGAGGACACGGCCTCACCAGGAACCAACCCCACGGGACCCCGACTCAGACTCCAGTCCATGAGCCGCAAGGACACGCGTCTGCCTGTCCGGGATGTCTCATTACGGCGGCCGAGCTGCCGCGCCAACTCAGCGAGTGACAGTCAGTGCGCTGAGCGTAAACCCAACCCCCCGATGGTGGTCTCTGCTCCGCGTGTCCCTGGGGACAGGGCGCCTCACGGAACCCCGCTCCCGGGAGCCGCGGTCTGGCGAGGAGGGGCCACCCCACCTTCCGTGTAGCCGCAGGCCTGCGTCAGGGCCTGGCAGTGCGTCAGCAGCGCGATCCTGGTCACCGTCACGCCGAGCACGCTCCCGTCCTTGCACGTCTTATACTGGAAGGAGACAGACGCGGGGAAGCGCGTCGGACGGCGGAGTCCCGGCCACGTCCTCCGGCCGTCCAGCCCCACGAGGCGCCGAGTCCCCGGACTCTGGACGTGCGCACGTGTCGCAATGCACGTCAATCCCCCCCGGAACACGCGTGGACGCGCGGGCGGCGTGTCCGGCTCACCTCGATGTAGGCGGTGTCGTTGTTGGCGTCTTTGATGTGCGGGAACCAGTCTCGCGGCGGCTTGGAGAGGTGCTTCGACTCCGTGACGAACCACAGCAGCTTCGGCCAACCTTGGAAACCAGCGACAGGCTCTTTTTAGGGACGTTGCCCAGGAAGCGGGTCTGCAGGGCGCCTCTCCCCCCTCACGGCACAAGCTCAAACCCCACCTCCGGCTGGACCGAGTCTCCGGCGCTTACGCGTCCCCTGGAGCCTGAGACACCCACAGAGCACCCAGGCCTCCTCCGCGAACCCGCGGCACCCCACAGCCCGGCAGCCGCGGCGTCACCAGAGACGGCAGCACGCGGGAACGTGGGGCTTGGAGGCGAAGCAACAGGCGTGTCCCCCACCCCACCCCCCAGAGAGAAGCCGGTCCCCCGACACCAAGGCCGGGACGGGCGCGAGCTCCGCAGCTCGCCGGCGCACCTTTGAACTGCGGGATCTCCCCCGTCGGGCTCTTCGGCAGCCCTTTGTGGCAGGCGTCGCTGGTCAAGGCCACGGTGACTCCGCAGCTTCCCAGCAGGAACCCGATCTGCTGGCTCCCTGCATCCTGCGAGGGGAACAGCGAGAGGAGTTGAGAATCCACCACACGGCTCCAGAGCCGGCAAAACACCGCCCAGGCTTGGGTACCGGGAGGCGAACGAACCCCCAAGCCCCTTCTCTCTTCCTGAGCCAACAGCGACTCAGGGCACAGACTCTGGACTCTGCTGGCCTGGCCTCAGTTTGCTCATCTGTAAAATGGGTGCAAAGTTGTGAGGGATGAGCGGGAAGAGTGTGCGGGAAGCACGCAGGGGTCTCGTCAGAAGGTCACTGTCGTGTCTCCTTCCAATTCTATGAGGCCGCAAGACAGACTCATCCTACGGAGCAGAAAGGGCTGAGGACACGCTCTGCCTAACACAGTTGAGCGCCCGACTGTTAAAACACCTGAAGACCAAAGATGCAGCAGGTACGTCTGGGGCGGGTGCCAGGCCAGCGGATGGAGACGGGTCACCCTCTCCCCACCGTGAGCACGTCGCGTATCAACAAAATAACTGAAGCGCTGAAACGAGCCACTACTGGGCGGCAGGGCCCTGGGGGACGGGGCTGTCCTCGCCAGCCACCCCACGCGGGTTCGCGGCCAACGCGTCCGGCTGCCCTGCGGGGACGGAGGAACGGCCACATCGGTCCACTTTCTCCACTGCCAGGTGAGGGGTGGGGCAGACGGTTCTCCCCCGGCTTCCACGGCCCCCACCCCCATGCAGGTCACACCGGTGACACCTGCGTCCCGAGGGTCCCCTCGGCGTAAGGAGAAATCCCAAGAGACGCCCTGCCCTGCCCCCCAACCCGGGGCCACAGAGCCCCCTCCTGAGACGTCCCCCGCTGCCCCGCCTCACACAGGGAACCCGATGGCTTCTCAGGTGCAAGAGGTGCCCTCGGCAAAGGGGACTGCCAGGTGCCCCCCGTCCCCGGGCAAAGCCGTCCCCTTCCCCCAGCACCACTGAACGGCCTCATCCCATCTGAACACCGTTAAAAAGGTTTCTAACACGGTTAAAATGAGTGGTTTATATCAGTCTCCATCTGAATAGTACTTAATTCCATTATTTCAAAGCATCTTAAAAATATGTCACGGGGACACATTTCACGCCCCAAGCGACGGCCACCTTTGCAGAACCTGAAGTTACGCCTCACGTTCTCAGATCATGGTATTGGCACTTGTGCCACCCAGAAGGCAGTGCTAGAACATTCCTCAGGAAAATCAACCCCCCCCCTTTTCCGCCCAAATACTTCCTGTGAGAACCAACCCTGGTTGGGAAGACACTAGGCTAGACATTTAAAATAGACAAATCTGAATTATACGTGTGAAGGGGAAAAGATAAATAATCGTTTCTCCTAAGAACAAATGCTTCGTGTCTGGTGACTGAACCGTTCACAACTGGTCTCCGTGTTCTCGGCAGCCTTCGGCTTCCCCCAAATCATCATCTCGCCGCTGCTCAGAGAACTCGGAGCATTTTCTGCAGAGCCTCTGCCCACCGAAGTAAGTAACAAATGAAGAGGAGCATCACACACCCCTCATCAGATATCGAAACTGGGGTTAACAGTGGCTCCGATTACCCAGCAGGACATAGCTGTCACGCTTAGCAAAACCCCAATCCTTCCACTTTTCTCCCCCGCTGTTGTGAAGACCACGGGACACAGGAGATGAGGACGCACTTCACCGGATGTCTGACGCACACCTGGAGTGCTGGCTGCAAACCACGCAGGTTCTCCACACCTGGTGGAGGGAGCCTTGGGGTCACACCTGCAGCCCTGCCAGACATGCGGGCAACTCGCTGGTTTTGCTCATAAGAAATTAACATAGCAATCGCCCCTCCCCTCCGTTTCCGTTCTCTCCCTTCCTATCTGCAAAAGAAAATAAAAATCTCGGCACTGTCACCCAGTTCCTTATGCAAAAGGGGAGGTGACGGCCCCAGGCCCCACAGATGTTCTGTAAGGACATTCCCTGCTGGCCTGCCATAAGGACGTGCAAATTGTCACCGTGGGTCTGCAGGCTACGCCCAGCAAAGCTGAGGTCTGTTTGACGCCACAGTAGTGACGAGATACAAGTTTACCTTCACAGGTACAGCTCAGGCAGCTCAGGCACGCTGCCCCCCGCCCAGGGACCTGAGCATACCCAGATGCTACCTTCACTCCTTTTTTCCCTTCTGACATTTGCCTTTTCTTATGTAAAGCGTAGATCTTCCTGGATCTCACCAGAATGTAACCATTTTCTCTTAGTACCTCCAGCCCCTTTTTTCTCTCTCTGTAGGCCCCACTCCCCTTTAAACACCGAAACTCCCAAATTCCCCTCCGGAAAAACGGCCACAGATTTGTCGTGGTTTGTGTTTTTCCCGGGCGTATCTTCAACTTTGGCTTCATAAACCTCCGCTGATTGAGATCTTTTTCTCAGTCACTTATTCTGGGTCGACACACGGAAGGGGCAGAGTTTGGAAGGCAACCGTGTAACCTGCACAGACCGCAGAGTTACCCATGATGTGCTCCGAGGCGCAGCAGCCGGGTTTCTCAAATACTGAATCAACAAATTTAACGTGAGAGTAGCCACAGAGACAGTGGAAGTTTTTTTTGGCAACTCAGCCTGGGCTACAGTAATCGCTGCATTTTGAAGCTAGAAGAGTCACCCCACACAGTTTGCTCACTAAAGATGAGCGAAAGGAAGCCCAGATGAGCCGAGGGTGGTGTCCGAGGGCACGTCATCCGCCCAGGTTTGGGGCTGTCCCTCGGGGTGGCCAACTCCTTTCTGCAGTGCCAGACAACCCTCTTCAGCGAACCCAGCATCAGCTCTGCTAGAACCTCCTCCCTGATGTTTCTTTTTTAAAGTTACTGTAACTCTGCCTTGAACATGAACAAATTATCCACACGGTTTGAGAAACTTACATCGATATGTAGCATGTATATGTGCAACTCTGCTTTCTTTAAAACTGAACGAAATGATAATTATAATAGCAAGTTTAGTTATTTATTTTAATTATAGACTAAAATATGACAAATCATAGGTAAAGTTGGGACTGGATAATGCCAAAACACCTGAACAAAAGCAACAAACCTCCCCCCAAAAAACAAGTGTAAAAACTATCATTCACCCAGATCCTAGCATACATGATACTTCTTGACTCTCCTTCCAAGGCTCCTCCTATACCCAGCCCTACTGTCCAAGTGAATCTCATATACCCAGCCCTACTGTCCAACTGAAGGATGTCCTCAAACACCTGCTTTACTGACTGAGATTATTTAGCTCAATGTTCTGCCACCAAATAAACTGAAGCTCCACCTCTGAGGAGCGGCACATCCTGCGGTTAGGCCGCGCCATATGTGCTAAAAGCTGCTCCCTTCGCTAAGATGATGGAGGAAAACCTGCAGACCCCAGGAACAGTGAAAACATCTCAGCGCATCTGGATCCACACCCGGCCGTGGTGAGAAGCCGTTTTCTAAAACTACGTCTGCAAATTTTCACACAGCCGTGCTGGGCTGTCCCCTCCCTCTGATGGGCCTTAATGAGCGAGTTCTTTACCTTTCTCGTGAGCGGCACTTCGATGGGCACGGGCACGACTTCCGCCAGCAGGCAGCCGTAGAACGCTACCATGAAGGCCGCAGGGTCGTTGTTCGGGAACACCAGTGCCACCTGGAGGGACGGCCAGACAGCAGGATTAAAATTCTAAGAAAGAAGGGATGCTGGAACGAAAATCAGGTGCTCTACGTAAAAATGCATTTTAGTAAGACCAGTTTTTTAATAAGCATCATATGCTTTTTCTTTAGTTTATGTGAAAGACAAACAATATTAACGATGGTCATCTGCAAAACTGAACACCTTTTCCCCCTGCAATCTGTACTCATAGCATTTCCATTAAATTTTCCTTTAATATTTGAACCAGTCACAAATCCCGTGTTATTGGTGACTCCATAGTGATTGCAGCATGATACTATACAAATACATACACGTTTAACTTTCATGAACCCGCATGGCTTCCTTTCATTTAATCCTCTGTATTCCTTTGGTATTTCACTGTACATAATTATTCACAGAGCAGAACAGGCATCAGCAAATCAGAAGCTGCAAGCCCACACTCCTAGCTGAGGCCTCTCCTGTTGAACTGATGCCCATCTTCTTCCTGACTCTCCTTGCAAGGCTCCTCCTATATCCAGCCCTACTGTCCAAGTGAATCTCATATACCCAGCCCTACTGTCCAAGTGAATCTTGTACACTCAGCCTTACCATCCAAGTGACTCTCCTATACCCAGCACTACTATCCAAGTGACTCTCCTATACCCAGCACTACTATCCAAGTGACTCTCCTATACCCAGCACTACTGTCCAAGTGAATCTCCTATACCCAGCCCTACTGTCCAAGCGAATCTCGTACACTCAGCCTTACCATCCAAGTGACTCTCCTATACCCAGCACTACTATCCAAGTGAATCTCCTATACCCAGCACTACTGTCCAAGTGAATCTCATATACCCAGCACTACTGTCCAAGCGAATCTTGTACACTCAGCCCTACCATCCAAGTGAATCTCCTATATCCAGCACTACTGTCCAAGCGAATCTTGTACACTCAGCCCTACCATCCAAGTGAATCTCCTATACCCACCACTACTGTCCAAGTGAATCTCGTACACTCAGCCCTACTGTCCAAGTGCATGGCTTTAGCTCCTTTCTACACCATTTCCTGGTACCTGACCAACAGCTACAGGTTCACATTTTCCCCCGAGAAGCCTTCTCAGATTCTAGATCCTCCTTAAAATAAAAAAGATCTCTTTATTTTTCCCAAAGAATTCAGCTATATCTCTACTGCCTCTTCTTAGGGATCTTTATCACTTCCCAATTTATATAAAAGCTAATTATCAATGTGTCTTTACAGTGTTTTGATATTACAAGCTTGTTAAAGGCAGGCTTCATGTGTGGTGTGTCTTTTTACCTGCCATAGCTCCTACTACGACATCTTAAAGCCCTATTCAGCTTAGCCATCATAGATGCCTTTTCCAAAGCCTAGGAAGATGCTCTGCATTAGTTCAGCCACCCACAGGATGTGTCTGTAATTTTTATGCTCAGGAATGATGATTATTCTGAGAAAAATCGCACTTACCCTGTCTCCAGGCCGTACCATAGGTTCTTGCTTTGTACCTAATTTGTGCAGAATATTGTAAGCTACCTTCATGCTTCTCGTCCACAGTTTGCCTGCCAATACGAATGACAAAGACTAAATTGTACCATGCTACACACAATTTCGGTTACGCAAATACGTGCACATTAAACGGCGTATAGAGCATGACGTCTCCAAATGAAAGTCCAACATGTACATCCCTTTTGCATCTGGTGTGTGTGGCCTGCAACTTACTCAAACTGGGGCAAGAGCAGAAACTGGACATAAAGTGAAAGCAGGAGAGTAGTGGAGGTTTTTAACACATTAACCGCCACGTGACTTGTATTTAACTCATGATAGTTTTGAGCCTGGGGCCTCGTGAAGCATATGTAACTCACCACGTCTCTTTACCTTGGAAGCCGCTTTAACTATTTTTCAAGTTGCATATAACTCATGCACAGAAAATAAAAAATAACACATTTTTCATGAAATCAGAAAAGTTCATTAGAACCTGCACGTTTTATATCCCTGCCTCGTCCACGGCAGACATCAACTCAGCATCATCTGGGCGGCAGTGAATAGTCTGCGATGGAATAAAAATGGCTTTAAAACCTAAAACGAGTTCTTGAATACACAAAGGCCTTTACAACCCAGGCTCAGAGACTTCAGCTGTTAACAGCTTTTCAGAGGAAGTCAAGGTACATCAGAAGTGATGTTAACGCAACCACAGTATGATAAAGTGAGAAGCAATTTTAACTACTTTGTTTCAATGCAATCACCATTTAATCCTTTTCCTATTCTAAATGTAAAACTAAATCAGAGATTTGTTTACAACATATTTTGAATCAAAACAAATCCTGAATTTGTTTTATTTCATATTGGAATTGCTACCACCCAAATTAGTGTTATTATTCTCTACCTGTGACAGGATTTGTCAACTTCTCTCCCCTTAGTCATTAGGGAGCAAAGAGAATGTTTTATCTGTGACGGATCCAATTCCTAGGACGTTTCTTGGTTCATAGTATGTGCTCAAAAAATGTTTCTTTGTTTTATTAACATCATAGCAAGCTGTGATGAAACAAAGTTACGGTTTGCATTTTAGCCTATTTGTTGAGCACTTAGTAACCAGGCACAGATTTTATTCCTGTTCCTCCCACGGTCGTGAGGTTCTCATCCTCAACAATGCGGTCAGTCTTCCAGACTGGCTGCTTTACAGTTGTGCGGTATTTTATTTGGGGGATGACAGTTTTTTCCTTAAAATAGTCATCAGCCCATTAGACATAACTCAGGGAGTTTACCCCACACACACACACAGAAAACCATATTTTGTGCCTTCAGACCTCTTTAATGTGTATAATGTGAGGGAACTATTATAGTTGGACAAACAATTACAATCCATTTGTTCTAATAGAAAAAAAACCAACGTGTTGTAAATGAACAAGTCAGCACCATTCTAGTTTAAGTTGCAACTTCATTCTCAGCTGAGAATCTTAATGTCGATATCATAAATTCATACCAAAGCTAGTCGACAACAGAGAGCTCGAAAAGGGCAAAACTCTTGAAATACGCCTGATGTTTTTATACTTTATATTTGTCCAAGAGGAAAGGGAGGCAGGGTAGGTGAAGCTTCTGGGGCGGATGGCAGAAGACGCGGCAGCTGCCGCCTGACCGAGACGGAGACGCAGCAGGGACGTCGGCGCAGCCCGATTGCGCGCGAATCTTAGCCTCACGTGGCCGTGGGTGAGAAGTGGGCGGCGGTGCATGGAGCACAGTGCTGAGGGGGAGCCGGGGGGACCGAGGGCTGGACTTGCAGCCACAAGGGGCCCAGCGGCGACAACCACAGACCCACCCGCAGGGCAGGAGGGTGAGGGAAGGTCACGGCGCCTTCCTAGTTCTGGCATCTAAGTTCCTCCAAACACCTGGAGTGTGGTCACGAATTAGAAAAGAAAGAGAAAAGAAGACAGCGATGAAGAAATTGTGGCCTTAGAGCCACCAGCTGTCAGGACCCAGCGATTCCAAGTACACAATCAGCTCTAAGGCTGACCTTGGCCAGAGAGGGTCACACGGAAACGTCTCCCATCTTTCTGACCGAATAAAACCTATTTCCAAGAGCACAATTCAAAAAACACGTGAAGCTTGTCCTTCGTCATGGGCGACACCCAGGATCCATTTAAAACCACCGAATGAAACCACGAAAACACAGGGCCACAAAACATGCGTCCCGAAACCCAAATCCACTTCTGTCCAGAAACCGCACAGGTGTGCTTAGGCTCCGGGACTGAGCGTAACGTCCGGCTCCCAACCTCGATGGATAATGCAGAACTCGATTTCTGTCCCGCCTGCACTCGGGGGCATGTTGGCGTTATATAGAGAAAACCAGAAGGTTAGCAAAGGTCATCTAACCGTACACACACAGACACAACAGGAGCCAATTTGCTCTTTAGTTATCAGGTTAGTATCTTTGCAAGGCTGAAGCGGACGGGGAGAAACAACCGAGCCATCTGCTTTCTCCATTTGTCCACAGAACGAAGAGAAACGCACCTCTGCTACAGTTAACTATCACGAAAAGTTTACAGACTGTACTAATTGTATCGAATGAAGAATTAAGCGAAAGCTTGTTTCTCTGGCTTTCTAAACTATGGAAACATTTTGTTTCTTCAGAGTGATATCTATCAAAGAGTTTAGATGCACATTCTCGAACTACCCATGCTTGCCGAAAGCACGCTTCCCTCCCCCCAAAAATCACATATATGTTCAAGAAGTAAAATCTAACATCTAATTAGTATGATCACTGCTTTAAGTGTCCATTTCTGGCTTTAACTCAAAAAACATGTAACAAATAGTAACTTTTCATACTGAAACCAAATCAACTTCCTATCCTAAAAGAAATTTATTCAGATTCCATTTCTTTCTCATTTTTTTTTTTTTTTGAGAGAGGGTCTCACTCTGCGGCCCAGGCTGCAGTGCAATCATAGTTCACTGCAGATTTGCACTCCTGGGCTCAAGCGATCCTCCCGCCTCAGCCTCCAGAGGAGCTTGGCCTGGAGGAGGTGCCACCATACTTGGCTGATTTTTAAATTTTTTTTAGGGGGTCGGGTCTTGCTATGTTGCCCAGGCTCTGGTCTTGAACTTCTGGCCTTAAGCAATCCCTCTGCCTCAGCCCCTGAAAGTTCTGGGATTACAGGCGGGAGCCACCAAGCCCAGCAGATTCCATTTACCGCTATACCAGAAAGATAAAATGTAAATCGGCCGCCCTAACAGCTATTCGTCTCCGCACACGTGGCAGCGGTTACGCACAGACACGGACAGGCTCACGGGATTACCGTAAGTGAGGATGTACAGGGGCTTCCCGTTCGTGTCCATGGTGGTCAGGCAGGGGGCCTTCGGGGAGATGGTGCCCCACCGCTGCAGCGCGGCTTCCAACGACGGCGGCCAGTTCGTGACCACGCCCAGCTGCTCCCCGCGCATGGCCAGCATCTGGGCCCCTTCCGGCTTTGGTTGGTTTGGATCTGGTTGTTGAACTACGTATGTTTCGACACAAAAGGTTTTCAAGAAAAACACTGTATTAGCACGATGACTCTTCTATTCTTTTTAAAGACGCGAGATGGTTTATACTTCAGGTATAAATTTATTAGCTGACAGAAAACACACTTTCCTAGAATCAGAGTCTATATACTAGCCTCCTGGATGCTAGAAAAAACTCAATCCTTATAATTTCCAAGGCAACCTGGGGATGGATAGCTCAGGTTGATCTGAATACATCCGCAAACTGACGACAGGTACAAGCATACACCGTGCCGTGCTGAGAGCCTAGGGCTGAAACACCAGACTTAAAATTTCAATTATCAACCTACGCTGATGATTCAGGACTCCAAATTGCTCAAATCTTGCTAAATTGTATTTTGCCCTCAAATACTGAGCTGTAGATTTAAATTTGCTACAACTACTCTGAATAACAGAGCACAGAACGAGTATTTTCTTGAAGAAAACCAAGATAAATGCATCATATTTAATAATAAAATACCATCTGCTGAATTCTTTAGATAAGTGAGAAAGTGAAATTATTTCTCCCACTTCTGAAAAAGCTTTGTCTCTAGTTTATATTTGACAATTTCCACCTGCTGGCCAGAAAATCAGCTATGTCTTACTTATGGTTTAATGAATAAGAAAACAAGGAGTTCAGGTGCGACGTGACCAGCAGTTCCCGTATTTTGGTTCAGTTTTCAGTGGTCTGTGTTCAAAGGCTCAAGAGGACTCAGCCACTGCATTTGCAGAGAGCAGAGGAGGAGGGTAGATGACTCCTAGCAGCTCCCCGGAGCTGTGCTGCAGGCTAAGGTTTTCTGAAATCTTGCACGCTTGTTAAGCGGCGGCTTGGCTCACACAACGAACTCCACCAGCGGCAGAGATCTGCCCACAGTGTGGCCACCTACACCCTCTTCTCCGGGTTCCCGCCATCCGGTGAAGGCCAAGATTACCGCTCTTAAAAAATAAAAAGGCCTTGAAGAAAAAACGCCTGTTGTCTACGGGAGCACAGGAGCCCCTGAGGAAAGGGGTTGGGAAAGGTTCTCACCTTCTAACAACTCCTCGAAGTCGTCGACGAAGAATTCCCGCAGCGGGGGCCGTTTGGGCCGCTTGAGGGTATTGACGAGCTGCTGAATCTTTGCGGAGACCCGGCTGCTCACGGGCACCCCTGCAAGAGAGGAACCAGAGACGAAGCGGCCGTCACAATCCGAACAAGCAGCCACAGCATAACGGCCCGAAACCAGAGGTCCCGGCACCGCCCCAGGGCCGCTGCACGGCCCACGCCCTTTGCGCCCGAGACCCGGATACGCTCGCAGCCCAGGGCGATGGCTCGATGCGCTGGGCGGACAGACTCACAGGGCGGCAGCCCCGGCCACGCAGTGAGCGGACGGACGCAGCAGACTCCGACGCTTTATGAGCTGCGCTGTCCTGCGTGGGGAAGAGCCTCGGGTTTGCACACGCGTGACCTCTCCTCTAACGCTCAGGGCAGAATTTGTCGTCTGCAAAGCGTGGCCTTCGTGTTCACGCTGCCTCGGGGAACTTTCTGCTGGGCTCAGACGGCTGGCGAGGCCGTGAGGACCCCCCCACGGCCGCCTGTCGTGAGGCCTCACGGGGCTGGGGGAGCACGCTGCCGGGGACTGGCGCCCGGGAGCTCCCACGTCTGCCCAAGGCTCCCGAGGAACCCAGGGGCTCAGGCCCTGCTCTCTCCTGACAAAGGCCGAGGCCCGTACCTGCTGCCCAGACACGCACCTCAGCAGACTCCTGGCTGCGCGAGCTACTGCACAGCCGCCGACGTCTCTGAAGCCAGGCCTTGTGTGACAGAACAAGCCAGTGTCTACCCACGCCCACTAGAAATACGCCCGTCCTGTGTCGCGTTGATGGCTTACAATGATGAATGTCACGTCATTTTGAAAATCAGCTAAATGAAGTGATGACTGAAAAAGCCACGAAGTTTTAAAATTTCAAGATAAATAATCCAAATCCATGAACGAGAGAGAGGACCCAGATGGCCCCGCCCTATGACATCAAGCACGTCCTCCAAGGCCAACATGGCCCCCGGCAGGCGCCTGTCAACACCCGACTGTGGGCTGGGAACGACCCCCGTGGGGCCCGAGGCCCGGGTAGAGGTGGCCCAGCGGGGCCGCCCGTCCCATCTTGTGCACAAAGAAACTTCATTTCACCGTCAGATTCTACTCTAACTCTTGGGGCCCTGGGAAGGACTGAGGCTTAAGGAAAGTAGAATAAAGCGAAAAATAAAGTCCGAGTCATGTTACTTTGGGTTCAGTGATGCAAACGGCCGCTGTAGTCGGGACGTGCCCGGGTTAAGGGCACAAGGAACGGGGGAGAACCTCCCCGCGGCTGCCTCTCCCCAACCACCGGCACCACCGCAGCCAGCGTCGACGGGACGCAACAGCTCAGCCGTGTATCTGGGAAGCACGTCGGCCGCGGCACAGATAGGGTCGGCTCCCCAGGAGGCCAGAGAGCCTCAGCCCGGGACGTACCATCCCCCGTCTCCATGAGCTCGGCGTTGCCGTACTTGGGCGCCGTCCGGGAGGCCGTGGAGCCCTGCGGCCGCTCCACCTGCACGGCGTGCTCCGAGGTGTACGTGGTCACGTCGGGAGGTGCAGAGTGGTTTTCTGTAAAGAAGCACAGCGTGAGGTTTGCTGACGGCCGTGACGGTCACCCGGGAGGCCACGCGAGCGACGGGGCCGTGAAGACGCCACATCCAGCAAGGGACCTACAGACGGCATCCGTCCTTCTGCAACATAAGATAAAAAGGTTACTCCGAACCGAAGTCTGCCACAAAAGCCAGCCAAAGATGGTCTTTAAGATAACTTATATTGCCCCAAACGGAAGAAAGTTAGGTAAAACTGCAGACGTAATTCATAACGGGAGCCGTGACTCACTGGATCGTTTTACCCCCAATAACGTTCTCAAACAGCCAGCGGACAAGACGGCACGAGCTACGTCTTTGCTCACGGGGACGGCACTTTTCGCATCCGCCACGGCAGGTGCAGCTCAGGGCTGCGCTCTGGAGCCAAAACCCAGCTCTGGACAGTCCCAGAGGTCTCGGGACGCATCACGCTCTGCACATAAGTTTCTTCAACCGTCAAACGGCCCTGACCTCGCAGGGACGCAGGGTGGATTAAATGAGTAAACACGTGCAGGGTTCTTGGGATATTTCTTGAAAAAGGGCGAGGTACCAAGGAATGTTAGGTACGTTATTATTTGTCTTAGCCTGAACGATACTGAATAGTTGTATTCACAAAAACATGCTCATCATATCACGCAGGCTGCAGAGCCGTGGCTGCTTCCATGGGGCGTCAGGCGGCTGCTTCCGTGGGGCGTCAGGCGTCTGCATGGCTGCGACACGCCGCGCCCCACTTCACCCCGACAGAGACCAGGACTCCCGGCTTTTGGGGAGTGTTTCAAAGTGCCTCGTACGCAACGGGTGCTCGAGAGACGCCTGTCGGTGGGTGAGGCGTCGTGGGCTCCCCGGCGCGTAGACGCGGTCTGAGCGCTCGTGGGCTCGGGGCACGGGGACACCGCGCAGATCAGGGCCTCGCCGCAGGGCTCTGCGTCGTCTCAGCACGGCTGCCTGCGGTTCTTCGGGTCAACGCGCAGTGCTTGCAAAGTCAAGAGAAAACCCGCGGCTGCCCCCCCGCAAGCCACACGTCAGGGTCGCTCCGCTACGAGTTTCACCCTTGCTCTCAGGCCCTGGGCCCGTCTCCCGCGGGCAAGGACGGCTCTGGGTCTCCGCGGAACACCCCGCCTGGAGGGAGCGTCTACACACTCCCTCCCTCGTGCTGTTTTCTCGTCAGGCCTCTGATGATCTCAGTAAAAGGTCAAATGCTGCGATTCTGACTTTTTACTTCTTTCGTTTTGCCATAAAAATAACGTATTTTAACTTTCCTGTCCTCATCAAGTCTCATTAGTTTGCCACTGTTTTCTTCCCCCCCAAAATTTCGTCCTTACAGAAAGTTACCAGATATGCTAGGAAAATCACCTTTGCACCAAGTCAGACATGACTGAAATGGTACACGCTCGAGCGTTATATTCAGGTCATGCTGAGCCTTGACATGCACGAGAGCGAAACCGTTTACAGTTTGGGTAAACGTGATTCTCCCGCTGTAATTCTCTCCCGTGTTCCCAGTACAGACTCAGGGAGAACAAGCACAGTGATTAATTTGTTCAAAAATATGCTCTTCTCTTGGTAAGATTCGAAGCATTTCCTTAAAAGTGAACGAAATCAAAGAATCCGAACAGTTCCAAGTGGCAAGGACGGGGCCAGAGCCACCATCCTGGTCCCCAGCACAGAAGACATTTTATTGACTAAAAACACGTAATGGTTACACGTTTCTGTAAAATTTTTAACTCACCGTGATTTCAAATAGAGGTTACTAACTCACGTTAATACACACGTTTCTGAAAACGTGTTAATCTGAAGTTCAATAATGCCACGTGGCGTCGGAATATCCCTTTAAAAACTTTTAAAGGATACCGTTTTCTACCTTTCGCAAGTATGAGAGGTACAAAGGAAACAAATTATTTTTCCCATTTTTTCCTCACTGAAAAGCAAAAGCAGGGAGAAGTGACTTCGAGATTCTGGCAGCTCGGGGAGACTGAGGCAGTCCCGGCTCTCCCGAGGGACGAGCCGTCCACGCCAACCTCAGTCGGCGATGCAACAGGGCACAGCTCTGACTGCCAAGCAGTTACCGACTTAGAAATAAACATTCCAGAGTATCTGTGGAGTATTTAATTCAGTCGCTACATTCACCTGTTTCCTAACGGGTTTTTCAGAGACGAGGTTTCCCACAGTAGCTCGGCACCAGGGGGCCTGAACCCGCATGTCGGGCTGCGTCATCCACGGCACGTGGCCCCTGCCCGCGGCTGCCTTAATGGGAAGGTGACACTGAACCGTAGGCAACGCAGGTAATTTGCTTCACGAAAAACTTTCGTTGTTGAGCTGTTTGGAAATCTCAGTCTACAGCTGAAAGGGCTCAGGGCAGACTGGACGCCCACGGCTGACGGGCCACGGGGCGGGCGTGGCCCGTGCAGGCGGAATAGGTGCGGCTCGTCGCCGCCCACCCAGCCCACGCCGGCACCCCCTAACAAACGATTCTCACTCCACCTTCCCACGCCATCTCAGGGCGACGCTCCCTAACTTCGGGATTTTCCTAACCCAGAGAATCTTCCTCGTTACGGAACCTACACACGAAACGTGAAGTGCCGAGAAACCTGAGCACCTACAGCAGAAAACAGCTGGGGGTACAGCCCCGGCCTCCCCGAACGATCCCCAAAGCCAGGGCAACTCCACCTCAAGATCCCGTCTCGTTCACCGGCACCATTAACGTTTCATTTGGGAGCATCTTTCAGCGGAAGTGAGGAGAAAGCACATGAGCAGACACGGCTGCACGTTTCTCTAAGGAACGAGGATTCCTTTCCAAACACAAAGCCCCAGATTCCCACCGTGGGACAGACCGGGGGGTGAGCCGCAGAGCAAGCTCCCTGAAACAGGTAACCAAGTACCCCAGGGCCGGAGGGCCCCGCGCTCTGCCCGTGGGACGGGCTCTACAGCCTCTGCACAGATAGTCAGCGGACAGCGAGGAGGACAGCCGCGGGCGCACTCACCAATGTGGGTCTGGGCCAGGACGTCCGCCAGCCGGTGGGCGGCCCCGCTGCCCCCGCTCTGCGTGGAGGAGGAGGAGGTGGTGGAGGTGGTGGAGCCGTGCATGGCCTGGCTGATCCAGTGCTCCATGTTGATGCTGCCCTGGCTGGAGGTCGGGGTCCCCTGGGAGTCGCCCTGCACCGAGCCGTCGTCTTCCGAGCCCGAGGAGGTGTCTGGCACAGAGAGAAACGCGCTCGCTGTCTGCCGCGGCAAGGAGGCGGCCCCGTCTCCCACCCTCTCCACACCCCACCGCCCGCTCCCCGCACAGGGGCCGCCCGGCCCACGACCCGGCTCTGAGCATCCATGAGAACTGACGCCACCGTTCAGACACGAGTCTTTTAGTCTAACGACCTCTTCACCCGAAACACCTTAAATATGCTACGAAATGTTTAATCTGACACTATAACCTCAGACAGGGACACACCCGTTTCCTCCACACAACAGCGTGGGAAGAAACCAGGGGTCAGTTCTCTGCGTGTGTGCGCCAAGCGAGAGGGTGAGGCGTGTTTTCTGCATGTCCGGTGCGTGTGCTGCCCTCCTGAGTTTCGGAGTGTGATCGTTTCTACCCTTGTTAGTCCTGAGACATTTTTCTGAGCAATAATTTAAGTTCCGTGTGAGAGTAAGACAGCCACGCTCCTCCTCGAAGGTGGGGATACTGAGGACTTGGGGGCGGGAAAGAGGAAGGCGTCTGCCAGGCCCGGCCCCTCCCTCCCCACGGCCCCAGCCCTGCCCCCGCTCGGTGCACGCGGCAAAGCTCCACGGCACGGCCTTCCACTCTCGGACTGAGCCTATTTACTTCTACAGTATTCATTTCCTATAAGATTTCTCATTACTTAGCTGATTTATTTTTCTATTTGTGAACACTTGATATCTTGAATTGAGATAAAACATTATTTTTTTCATTATAATGAATGAAAATATTTTTCATTTAATAACTTTTCGCTCAGCATCAAAGGTTTGAAGATTGAATTATGGGTGTGGTTGTTGTTTAAACTGCAGTGTGAGAATGACATTTGGGGTCCCACCTGCAGGTGAGTATGAGGTGCCGGGAAGGACAAAGATAGGCAGGCAGCTCTCAAGCCCTCGATGAGAACAGGAGTGATCACGATTAATCTTAAGATGCAGCTTTTTTAACACCACGATAATTGTAAAGAATATTTACACTATCACCACGGTCACATGACCTAGGTTGTCTGGAAATTTTTTAAAAGTTTACTTGTTAAAATTTGTTATGGCCGGGCGCGGTGGCTCACACCTGTAATCCTAGCTCTCTGGAAGGCCGAGGTGGGCAGATTGTTTGAGCTCAGGAGTTCGAAACCAGCCTGAGCAAGAGCGAGACCCCATCCCTACTAAAAAAAAATAGAAAGAAATTATCCGGACAACTAAAAATATATAGAAAAAATTAGCTGGGCATGGTGGTGCATGCCTGTAGTCCCAGCTACTCGGGAGGCTGAGGCAGGAGGATCACTTGAGCCCAGGAGTGTGAGGTTGCTGTGAGCTAGGCTGACGCCACGGCACTCACTCTAGCCAGGAAAACAGAGTGAGACTCTGTCTCAAAAAAAAAAAAAAATTTGTTATGAAAGCAACAATATTAAGAGCCATAAAATTATCTCCTCCCACCCTGCCTTTTAAAAAAAACTTTTACATTTTATAAAAATATGATTTATACAAAATAAAATTTACACATTTTATATATTGAGACTTGAGACTTTTTAGAAACGTACTCATTTTCCACAGTGAGCACAACGCTCTCCCTAGAAAGTCTTCTTACAACCCCTTGTTGATTTTTCATCCTCCACCCTCACCTGCCTTTTCCAAGAAAACTGAAGAATAACATCCCTCATGACGTCGGCACAAAAATCCTCAACAAAACATGAACAGACCATACGAGCAACATACAAAACGGATCATACACCAAGACCGAGCGGTGACTGGACTCACACACCAAGCACAGGAATTCAGGCTGATTTAACATTCAAGAGTGAGTTCATGTCACCCCCCTGTTAATAAACTAAAGGGAGAAAAACCACATGTTATAACCTTAAAAGACATAGAAAAAGTGTTTGAAAATTCAAGATAAAAAACTCTCAACTAATCAGGAACAGAAGAGAATCTCTTCAAACCGTTAAAAGGCATTTGTGAAAACCCACAGATAACACTGTGTTTGCTAGTAAAAAATGACTGAGTCTCTAAGACTGAGAACAAAGCCATCCTCTCTGCCCACTTTGATCCTTACCTCACACCATATGTAAAAATTAACTCGGAAGGGATCACAGACCTAAACGAAAGAAATAGACTATAAAATTTCTAAAACTTCCAAAAGAAAATGAAAATTGATAAATGGGATTTCATCACAATGAAAATCTTGTTTCTTTTTTTGTTTTTTTTTTTTTTGAGACGGAGTCTCACTCTTTTGCCCAGGCTAGAG